CACCTACCATCAGTAGTTGCTGAATAAAACCTGTTTTCACAGCTTTAACTAACGTCCAGTTGTGTTTGTCTTTGACACCTCTATGTGGGAGAAGCCCTCATTCATGGGGCTCACCCCCTACCCCAGTGCAAACAGAGTTCTGGACGGGATCCAGGAGTTCCTTCTTTGCCTCTCTTCTTCCAAGGCTGCATGGAGCACAGCCTGCTAGGAATATGAATGACGAAAGCCTCCTACTACATAGCTAAATTTCCTTTTTTAAATTATTTAAATTTCAATAGATATATGTGATTGGGCACATGAGCATGTACCTCTGACAAGATATTCTGACCTCTAAAGAATTTCCACTTTAACACGACTTTGTACAATTTGCTTGTTTTCCTACACCTAGCCAGGCAAACCGAAGGGAGAGGGGCTTTTATCAAGGATGGAGGCCATAGGGAGGAAGGGGGAAAATGACTTGGAAACATGAGGCACCCCAGGGAGAGATGTCCATAGTCATCTAGAGAAATTCTATGGCACTTAGGTGAGCAAGGAAGAAAAAACAGCTAAGTATAAAAGATGAGAAGTTAAAAGGATATGGAAGGTAACTGAATTACTTTTTTCCTTTTTCACTTTTTTTTTTTTTTTTGCTTTTAACTCAGTCCTGCTCTTTACCTTCCTTTCAAAAACCTAAAGTAAAATGTCTCTGTACTGTACTCTGTTTACCCTGCTCCCAGCCAAGAAACGTTACTTATCGTTTTACTTCTCTTCCAGTTATTTTGACCTTGCAAAAATGTAAATCAAAGGAGGAGGACAAGAATTAGTCACTTACTATCTTTGAGTCTTGGTTTAACCATGAGAGTTTTGGACTGAATTCATAATTCAACACATATTTATTGAATGAATACTGTGTGCAGAATGCAACCTATTTGCTATGGAAACATTATATTATCCTTATGTAGCTTACAATCTAGTGAAAGAGGTGTTAAATAAATAAATTAATTAAAGTATAACATAAATAAGATAAACAACCTAAGGAGCAGTATTTTATATGATTGTTAGATTAGACTTCAATGAGAAGGTGATAGTTTTTATTTCAAGTATTTTACTTATATTCATTTTATTTTACTTACTATTATTATCTTGCAGATGCTGAAACGGAGGCACAAAGTAGTTAAGTAATTTCAGTGTATTGTATTACTATATTATAGAATTTGAATTTGAACCTAGGCAGTCTGGCTGCAAGTTCATTGTGTTTAACTGCTAGTCTTTATTTATTATGATTTTAAATTTATTAAGATTACTCTGAAGTGTGAGGAAAGACTCTGGAAGCAAGAGTTTAAGCAGGGAGACTGTTGAGGAGAGAAAGGACAGCGACTGAACTATGGTGTATATGGCAGAAGAGAGAAATAGTGGTCATGTTTGAGATGTGTTTTGAATGGACAGGAAACAGAAGATTTGCTGATGGATTACATATGAGCAAGAGAGGATTTGATTATGAATACCACTTTTTGGCCTGAAAAACTGGAAAAAAGATTGTGTTTCTTTAAAATCTGGGAAAACTGGGGGAGGAGGTGAATTGGTGAGGGGTAGAAAATAAAGAGTTTGTTTTGAAAATGTAAACTTTGAAATGCACATGAAACATCTGAAAAGCGATATAAAAGAGGCAATAGCCTGGGGTTTGGACTGCAGCTTTAAATTTGCACGTCACTATCAAGTGGATGTTTGAGAAAGTTATGTGTCTAGATAACATTCCCTAGGAAGGAAATATGAATATGACAATGATTGAGCTCTGGGACATTCTAACCCTCAGAGATCATGAAGAGGTATAGGTTTCAATAAAATAGAAGCTGGAGGTTAAACTGATGGCCAACAGGGAGTCAAAGAAGGGAGTTTGAAGAAGAAATTTATTGACTGTGTCTAATGCTGCTAATAGGTCAAGATGAAGACCAGGAATTGACCATTAAAATTTGTCAAAGTGTAGATTATTAGATGCCTTGATTATGGAGTGTTAGGGACCAAGGACTGGTTGGACTGGGCTCCAGGGACTAGGAAAATTCTGAGGTCCCATTATAGCTATGGCAAAATGATTAAAATTAACCTGAAAAAAGACATGGAGGATATTATTAAAAAGAAGAAGAGAGTAATAATGCATTTTCAAATACTTCAAGCAATTTCAAAATATTTTATGAAACATCTTCTATACATCCAACACTGTTAGGTGAATTTTAAAACATTTTTCTTATTTGTTACAATAACATTTTGATGTTAAGCAAATTTTAAAAAAAGAAAAAAAAGTATGTCTATACTACCTTAATCCTAACACATTAACATTTTACACATTTATTTCAATCACTATCCTTATATTTCCATAATTTTAGAGTTTTATTAATTGTATTATAAGTCTTTTCCTTTGTAGACAGTTTAAATAACATATTAATTATGACAGCAAATACTTTATTATGTGAATATATAACATTGGTTATTTAATCATTTTTATTCTCATTTATGTTGTCTTCAAATTATAATATATAATGCTATGATTATTTGTGTCTTTGCCTGTCATCTTCATTAAGTTATAATTAACCCCTAAAGTCCAGGGCTATACCTGGTTCAGTTCTGAATCACCAGCATGTGCCTGGCAAAGAGTGACTTCTAGGAAGCACAGGAGACTGTTGAGTGAATTGAGGATGAGCAAGGAGACCTACAGCTTCAGTTCTCATTTTGCGTTCGCCAGTTGTAGACTTGTGGCCATGGGCAAGATACAACTTATTTATATCTCATCTATAAACTGAAGATAATTATAGTACTATATAAATTATCAAGAGAATTAAATGAACAGATATATGCAAAGTGACCACTATATTGTAAGCACACATATAAGAAGTACTTGGTGTTTTATATAACAAAAAGATAATGATGCCCTGAATATGTTTAATGAATGAATAATAAATCAAAAAGCAGTTTTCCTTTTGCTTGACACAGGTAACTTTTAAAATCCTTTTGGATATGCAAGGCCTCCCCCCACCGAAAACACACATACATAAAAAAAATCCAAAAAACAAAAAACCGGAATTACCTTCTGGAGGGCTGGCCCTTGTAGCACATGCTTCCCCCAGTAGGTGAGTGTTCTAGGAACCCATCAGTAGCAGTGTACCAGCTGGTGTTGTTGGGAGAGGCTATGTTCAGCTTCTGTGATTTTACTTTTTGATGGCTCTTTCAACTCATTTGCCCATTTCATGACGGGTGATTTCGGAGCACACCTGCCCACACTGTGCGGAGTGTTCAGCAGTTTTTGATAAAAAATGGCAGGACCTCCGTGCCCCACCCTCCGTAGTCACCTGATCTTGCTCCAAGAGACTTGTTTGTTTCCCCAATGAAAAAGGTCCTCAAAGGGAAACAGTTTGCCCCTGTGGAAGAGGTGAAACAAAAGAACCGCAGAAGCACTAGAGGCGTCAAAATCAATGAGTTCAAAAACTATTCTGAGCAGTGGAAAAATGTCTTGATATGTGTATTGTAGAAAATGGAGAGTACTTTGAAGGTGACTGAAGTTTAAACATGTAGGAATAAATACACAACTTTTAATAAACAAGTTCTGATTTTTGGGGGGTTCCCCCCTCATCTATATTTGGATTTAGTAACAATGTTATGAGCGCATACTATGTGCCAGGTATCCAGAGACAGATAATTTCTTTAAGTTAATTTTCACAAGTGATATCAATAAATGAAATAAGATGAGCATTTCTAGAGCTTTGATTATACTGTTACTTGCCAGGGTAGTTACACTTTTTGAAGCCAGGGTCAGTGTTTGACGTTTGCGCTTCTGTCTGTCATTAGAAGGTACATAGAGACTGCCTGCCACCTGCTAGTTCCCCAGACTTTTTTGTCTTGTACATCTTTTTCTCCTTCTTCTTAGCTGCTCTCCCTGGATCTCTTTTTTTTAAAATAAATAAATTAACAATATTCAATTAGGTAACACTAAGAGCAGAAGAAAAATCAAGGAGGTGGTAGTGGGCAAAGCGTGTGTAAAGAGACGAGTCACTTTGGTTGATTGCCTTTGTTAGGGATTTCAGAAATGGGGACAAGCGAAGAAAGGCCTTGCCAGTCAGGAAGATATTGTGATGGACTGCTAACAGGAAACAAGGAAGGTTCTTGAATAATGGAATTGACTTAATGAAAGCTATTAGAAAGCTTCTCAGGATGGTTGTACAGACTATCTTTTAGAGTGGGAGAAGGCACCCGAGGGCTCTGGTAGAAACTTGGAGAAATGAAAATGAATAAAAGGGAAATAATCCTTTTGAGATCAATTCCTGCCAAAATAATTATTTTGTTCATTCGCTCAGCATATGAACCGAGTGCCCACTTTGTGCCAGGCACTGTGCTAGGTACTGGGGATGGACACCACAGGAAAACACAGATTCAGTCCTGCTGTCATGACCAGCTGTTTGTTCCCACGACTGTCACTTGGCAGCAGAGCAAGAGCTCCTGACCCGAAATCAGTCTGCTACTTCCTGTCGCGCTCTTTGCTTGGCACATGGTGGGCACACAAATTCTATAGCCTAAATTGATATACAGCCTTGGTGCAGCAAAAGTAAATGCACAGAGCCAAGAACAAAAGGTCGGGTGGTATCTGTCTTGCCTTGGGAGACCACAATCTTGCAGTGAGCACATGTGTGCGTCTATGTTAGAGTCGGGGGCATATCTTCCCAGAGCTCCTGGCAGAGTACCAAGCTGCAGGACCAACTCCTTTCCTTGCGCGCTTAAGCCAGCCCAGGAGGTGGCAGGGTGCCAAATGGAACGAGACCAAGCTCAGCCTCGCTTCCGCCCGCAGACCCGCCCCGCTCGGCTCCTCCTCGCCGCTGGCGGGACCGCCCACGGTGACGCCCCGCGGCCACAGCCCCGGGAAGCCCAGAGCGCTGGAGGCTGGCGAACCCAGGCGGCGGGTGGAGCCAGAGCCGCTCCGCCGCGGCCAATCGCGCCACGGCGGGGGAGGAGCCCCAAAGGGGGAAAAAAGAAAGTGCGGCGGAAAGTAAGAGGCTCATTGGGGGGTACGACTGTCCGGATCAGGGTCCCTAGGGCTCCGCCTTGGCCAGACGCACGGAAAGAAGCAGTGCTGGGCGAGTCTGCATCTATCCTCGCCGCTTTCGCTGCGACCACTCTGTCTCCCAAGAAAGGTGAGTCTCGCGCTGTCAATGAGGTCGAGGAGGAATCACAGAGCCACAAAATCTCAGAGTAGAAGGATTCTTACAAATAGTCTCCTTCACCGACCCGCACTCCTCCTCCCCCCGCCACGTAAAAAACTGAGGCACAGAGTAAGGCAGTGCCTGGGATAGACCACACAGCTAGTTATTGCTGTGGCCAGGACTCGAAACCAACTGTCCAGAGCCCCATCTTTGCTGTGCAGGGATTTAAGTCACGCAGTTGTGGGACGGATGCGGGTTGCCGCACCCCACTTTCAGCATTTTAAGGGACCTTTCTTAGTGTACCCTTGCCTGGTTTCTCCAGAGCGCTGCTGTGATCAGTAAGGATAGAGGAGGGCAGTGTGTCCCAGCCTATCTAACGTCGCTCCCAACCTGGAGCTGTGACAGCTTGGTTAAAGGCTGCTTGCAGCTTCGCTCCCTCCTCCCCTGACCTGCTTTCTCAGAATGTTGCCCCTACCGAGGGTGACTGTCAGGTTCCTGGTGGAGTGGGTGGAGAGGTGAGGGACGCCCGGGCGCCTGTGACTTCTTATGGTCCTCATCTTTCTCTCCAGCCCCGGGAGGAAGAGGAGCTGGTGGTCCTGTTGGGGATAGGCTGTCCGTCCGTTAAGAACAGCTGGCTTTAGGGAGCCATAACCCCTCTCACTTTTGAGTCCTGGGAAGGAGCAAGGAAGATAGATTAATGAGAAAAACCACAAACATAAAAGCAAACTTCTGCCGTTTAAGAGCCAGTCTCCAGCCTTGGTTGTGAAATTGTGAACCACAGCGCCTCTCAAAGCGTTTTTGCTGCTCTGTTCCACCGATCCTTTGGTTAGTTGACCCGGAGAAGGAGGGTTACCTGGTTTTGATTCCAGCTCTGTGGTGCATTAGCTGTGTGAACTTGGGCAAGTTAAACAATGTTTTTCATACCCAAGTTGTGTGTGTGTGTGTGTGTGTGTGTGTGTGTGTGTGTTTCCAGGTGCAAGATGGAGATTATAATGTTCACAATGAGTCCGTTGGGTAGTTAGGAGGATTAAATGGCATAATTCAAATACCATGTTTAGCTCAGTGCCTGGCCTGGCACCTGGTGGTCAGGTTCAGGTTGATGGCAACTGTTGTAAATATTGTTATATAGTAACCCTGGAAACAATGAGTTTTCAGAAAGGTATACTTCCTACTACCTTAGAGTGACTTTAAAACAAAATTATGGAATGTTATGGTGTTTTCTTCTTTGGAGTTTGAACAGCCCTTTTATAGTGAATGTTTTCCGAATGCTCTCTACATGTGACTTTGATCGTGAATGCTTGACTTAGAATACAAAATTAATGTTCCTTAATGATGCCAATCTCTACTAGTTTTCAGGCCAAGCCTCAGGTTGGTGAAGCTCTAATCTGAGGCGTTCTTTATTAGCAAAGAGGGTCTTGAATTTGGTGAGAGGTAGGGAGAAAAGAGAAGTTGGAAGTTCCATTCATACTACAGACCGTTGTAAGCCTTTTATTCTTAAGTCAGACAAGCAACTTTATAATTTTTGCTAGTCTAGGAAAACAACAAAATTCTCATGTATTTATTTTGTATTATTTAGTGATGCTGCTAAATTCAGTCCCTTCTGGACACAAATTTACCTTATTTAAATATACCCAAATATGCGTACATTAGTCTTCTTTTATTATTACAAATGAAATAGCGTCCCTCCTATATCCCTACATGCTCGTGATAATTGATTTTATTCTGATTGACTTCATACGATGATTTTTTTCTCTTTGCTATGCCCAAAGTGCCTGAATTGAACATCCAGCATTTATAGAGTTGGCTGGCTCCTTCACAGTTCCTCGCATTTGCATGTGGCATTGATGAGTGCATGGGGGGGGGTGTGATACATGTTGCGGGAAAGCAGAGCTTGGTGGTCCCCCTTTATAGGTACCTCCCGCACCAAGCATTTGCAGAGGATGGGATCACTGCTTCCGTCAGCCTGTTCTGTGTGCATGCATTGTGATGAGCTGGCCACGGTACATCTGAACGTGTGCCTGAGAGGCCAGGGACTGGTGGGGAAAAGGAAAATGTTCAAAGTAAGGTCACAACAAGGGGACAGAAGGCAGATCGAAAGCTCATTCCTTTTGGTTAGGTTCTGTAAAGTAAAGATATCCAGTTATACTTTTTTTTTCCTTATCCAGATTATGTATTACCAAAATCGGACATACATCTAACATTTTCAAAGTGTGTTCCCTTTATATTATCTTCCTTCTTACTTGCAATAGCTCTGAGAAAAGGAAGGACATAAAAGGCATGTTAATAGTGGAAGGAGCCTGGGCTTTGTGGTCATATCAATTACCAGTTGTAATTTCTATGTAGCTAGGAAATATTGAGCAATTTATTTCATCACTGAGCCTGCTTTATCCAGCTCTAAAATGGAAGAAAAAAGCTGGTCCCCAGAGATTTGTGTGAGGATGAAATTAAGTGGAATAGTGTAAAGTATGTGCAGTGAGTAGGTGTTCATTAAACGATGTCCCTTCTTAGCTGATCTCAGTTTGTGGAGTATGAAACTGAAATGAGATTCAGAGAAATAAGAGGTTGCCAAGGGTCATGTGGTTATGAAGCTTCAGCTCTCGGAATAGAGTTCAAACACTTTGATTTCTAGTTAAAGGATTTTCTTGTCACACCCTGCCACCTCCTTAGCAATTTATTTCAATTGTTAGGTTGACCCTTATTTGGCTGGTGATTGCAGGGTACCCATTCCGTCCCAGAAAGGATATTTCCTTGCTAAGGGATAATCGTCATACCTGCTCCGGTGAGTTTAGCACGGCCCACTCTCAGGAGAGGAAGTTTCAAAGCCATGGCCGCTAGGACAGCCTTCCTACTTCCCTGTGTTTGATGCAATGCACCTTCAATTCCTGGAAGTGAAGTCACTATGAAGACATGAAGTGCAGAATTATGTCACATTTTTCTTCCTGTTTTGAGCTGTTTTGCCCCCATATTCCATTCTTTTGGTAATTCGCAGAGCGGTGAGATTGAGGAACAAACGTCTTGAATGACGGTAGCATTCCTAGCATTTTTCACTTCTTTCGCCAATTCTGTGGGTAAGGTTGAAATACAGGGGGCGGTGTGCAGAGGCAGCATTTGCAGGAAAGACCACTGCTTGCTGGTGGGGCTGATCCCTGGTCGAGTTTCGGTCCTCCCTGTGGAAACGGATGGCTGCAGGCTTCTGTGGGAAAATGAGCAGATCTGTTTCTCGTTTCGGCAATGGGGCCATTTATCCATTGAGACTTCCTATAGGCCATCAGGTTTCTCTGCTTTGCAGCAAGCAGACAAGCTTGCAAATGTAATTTTGTGAGAAATGTTTTATTCTTTTCTGGCATTTGGGAGCGTGTTTGCTTTTGTTTAAAGGTAGGCCGTTAGCATCATCTTACCTGGCACAATTTTGAAAGCAGAATGTGGCTGGAGGAAGTCAGAGGAGGCAGAAATAAAAAATAAATGAATAAAAATTATCTCCAAGATAATACACAGTTCCATTTGCTGCTTAACTTTCTGAGGTTTTTGCTGGTGACACAGACGTAGGATCTGGTGAGTCACTGTCGCCTTGCCCGTGAAATATTAAAGAGAGCCACCTACTGTGCTCTTTGCCCATTTTGGAAGTTGTTCTGTGGGAGAAATAAAAAGCCCAAAGAACAGGAAGGTTACAGAACATTTGGTATCTGATATTTTAGCTACTGTTGCTAAGTTCTTCTTTTTTTTTTCTTTTTTGAAAATGTGAATCCATGGTTTACACTGATGCAGTTGTTAGAAGACCACCTTCTAGCCTGGCTTTATTCTGACTAGCTCTGGCAGCTGTGGCAGTGTGGACTTTGAGAGTCTGACAGGTACCTGAGGCAAGTTATAGGAGTATTGAGATGAACCTCAGATTCCTAGGTAGGAAACAGGGGCCCGACACCTCCTTAGAAGCTCCAGTCCCCATGTCGGCATCTTATTCATAGGAAGCATTTAGTAAACACACATTCTTTCTTCTGCCATCAACTCCTTTAATTTATTCATCTGTTAAATTGTAAAAATCAAAGTTGAATAGCTACTCTCTACTGAACTCTGTCATGGTTTATACTGAATGTTTTATATACATTTATTCTTTGCAATAATCCCGTGTACAAGTACCATTTCATTTTAGAGCTGGGAAAGACCTAAAGCTGTATAGCCTCTGGCCTAGAATTGAGGACGTGGATGAGGTCCTCAGCTGAGGACACCCCCCGCTCCCATCCCAATCCTGCCTACAACGTGAGGGAGCTGGACTGGATGATCTCTAAGGGTCTTCTGCTATGATTCATTATTTTTTAAAGATTTCTCTCAACTCTGATATTCTATCACCATATCTCTTCGTAAAAGTCAAAGCTAAAAGGGGAACGAGGAATAAAATGAAAATGCCCTTATTGTTTTACCCCAAGAGATCTATTTTCCTGTCAAAAGAGGAGGGCAAGGGAAATCAACATTTATTGGTGCATGCACTTCTGTCATTTCATTTAAGCATAAAAATGTTTCATATATATATATATATATATATATATATATATATATAATATATATAGTCTGCCTTTTACAGATGAAAGAACTGAGACTCAGACAGACTTATAGACCTGCCCTCAGGAACACACTTAGTAAAATTAGAAGCAGTGTGTTCCTGAGCACAAAGCCTTTTGGTCTACTATTCCATGTTTACTATACATAACACCACACAGTCTGAGGACTTGTCCAACTAGATTCACAAATATCCCCTCCTGCATCCTTATATCACACCACTCAGCTGCTCTCTCCTTTTCCGCTGTTTCATTCCCAAACATGCTGCTCAAATTCTTTCTTGGTTGTTCCCAGCCCATGGGACCTTACAACGTTTTCTGTCTTTACTGTGATTCTTTTTCCACTGTGGGCAGGTAATATGCCCCTTGTTTTGTTCTCTAAGTCCCTGGTAGTCACCTAAGCCACTGAGGGCATGATTTACCCTGTCCCGTGCCTAGCACCTAACAGGTGCCAGGTAGAATGGATGATGGATTCCTACTATGCCAGGTAGGCCCAGCCTTGGCTTTCCAGTGTCTCGTATTTTCTCATATCATTAATTATCTCAAAGGCTGTCCCTGCAGACTAATAATGTAACTTCAATTTCCTTTAATTTTGTGGTCACAAAATCAGAAAAATGATAAGGAGTCACAGACTCTAACAAGGTTGGACATCGCTGGCTCCGTGGTGGAAAAGACATTTCGTCTCTAATTATAAAGAGAGTTTTGCAGCAAACACAGTGAAGGATGACACTGAAGTGCATGCTCACATATATCAGCAGAAAGGCCAGTGTCAAGTGTCATAAATAAACTACCTGGAAGAAAGTAGGAAGTTTCCAGGGAAGTGGGAAGCTCTAATAAGGTTCAGCCTCAAGATTTCTAAAAGCAGTGAAGAATTCACGCTGGTCCAGCTCGCATTTGATATAATTGGACATAAGGACAGGAGACCGTTTCTGTCTAGTTTTCATACAGGCGCTAGCTGTGGTTTCTACCTGTCTGGCACATAAGTTCTTTTGATTGAAGCTGGCTTCCTTCTTTCTCAAGCAATGCAAAAGGCAACAGAAAAGAGGATCAGCCATTTTATAAATTTTGATACCTGAAAATGTCCTTTTTGTAGATAGCACGGTTTCTTAAGCCAGTTATGGTCAGATGCTATGGTGACTTACAATTATGACTGTGTGACAACATGGGTTTTGGTACCAGACCAAACCTTTTTGGTTTTACTTTGGACAAGTTACTTGGTCTACCTCTGCTTTATTTTCACCATCTGTAAAAAAGGGATAATAAAACCATTTTATTATGCTTTTGGTAGGTGTCAATCATAGGCCATAGCATTTGTTAAGAGCCTGGTGTATGGGGATTTTAACCTTTTTTATGATTAGCTACTGCAGTGATATTCAGCTGCATGCCCAAATCAATACTGGATTAGAAAGTAGAAGATAAAGATTCAAATTATTACAATTTTTGTTTATATAAAAGTTAAGGCTCTCAGAATGCTTATTATACACACACATGCACACACACACACACAGAGGGTCTGGCACAAATAATGCCCTTTTTTATTACAAAATCATAAGCATGCAGTTCTGTAAAATAATAATGTCACACCCAAGTACACCACATGACATTTCAGGTGAAATGTTCAAATTAAAATTATAAATTATTATACCCGTATCATTACCCTACCAACCACATTCAAGCACGCATTACTTCTGCCAGATCCTGTATATATATTTTTGTGTGTATATGTGCAATAACTCTTAGGTAATCAAGGCAAATTTTGCTAGCATTTTATATCCTGAGTCTGAGAGGCTAACAATTTGCTATGGCCACACACCCAGCAAATAGTGGAGCTGGGACTTGGACAGTAGCTTTCTAATTTCAGGGTTATGTTTTTATTTCCCCCTTCAACCATTCAGTCTATCTGCCCTGGTAGTGGGTTAGTTGCTTTCCTTCTCTAAAAGTCTTGTTTCCCCACCTGTAAAATGAGGAATTTGGACACGGGGCTCTCTAAGGTACAGTGTCCTACGAGTCTATGCCTATAGAGTAACAAGTTAGGAAATGCCTAAAAAGCTAAGAGGAGAACCAGACTCTTCTTTCCAGATAGGCATCTGCGTGTCGTGGCATGTGGGAGTCATAAGTCCCAGAGGGCCGGCAGCCTCCTTAACCTCAGTGAGAATTACGCCTGAGCACTCCACTGGGAGTCAAGTCCATAAAGACACCTTTTATCTCCTTAAGGATTTGATTCTGTCATGTTCCCGTGACCTGCCAACTGTGGGCCCCCCACAGGCTGCAGATTTGAATGTGGGGAGGGAAAATAGATGGCTGGATGAGACACATTGACATTTACTGTTTGGGAAGTGAAAACGGAGCCTTTTTTTTTTTTTTAAAATATAAAACAAGCTCTGTATCTCCATTAATCACTACAATCGTCTCTGAAGAAATAAAGAGATACAACATTTGGCTTTCATTTTGATGTTAGCATTATGAGTGCATATTTTCTGTTTACTTCTGTTGAGCTAATTTAGTGCCTGTAGCAAAAGCTTGGCTCTTGTTGAAATAAATATAGGGATTCTTTTAACTTACAGAAATGACGGGCACTTGAGAATGGTAATACACATTACATAGCACTTTTCTGAAAAATCAGATTGCAGTTTTTCAGTTTCAGAGACAGATGGGGGCTAGGTGCCGAATGGATAGAGTAGGTAGTAAGAAATTGGCTGGCTTTGAAGTCAGAGTTGAGTGTGAATCCTAGATATGGCTTGCTCAGCCTGTCCATACTTAGTTTCCTCATCTGTGATATGGTAATAAGCATGTTTTAAACTATGTTCTAGATAGATAGACATCTATATCTATAGCTATATCTATCTATATATCTGTATCTATTGATCATCTATCTATTACAAAGCTTATAGCTAGATAATGTATGTTAAGTCCCTGCACTTAATAGCTGGCACCTACAAGGAGCACATTAAATATCCGTTCCTCCCTCTTCATTCAGTAGTGCTGTTTACTCCAGAGCCTCATCCATTTGATGCAATTCAGATGGAGAGGGGGAGTGAATCCAGTCGGTGTGTCAACTGGTCTAAAGAAATCTTTTCCAGTTCAGCAAACAATGTGGATGATAAGGGATAGGGAGTCAGTGTGATATTTATCTGAAAATATCAGGGAAGTTTTCTTGTGGGAGAGGAATTAAACCAGTGATATGGACCATATGCATCTAATCCTCTAGATAGTTTGTTAAAGAAGCAGGCATCTAGTGTCTCTGCACTGTAGTAGGAGAATCCCGGGGTTAGAATTTTCTAAACTGAGAGGTAGGATATTGTAGGGGGTCTAGAGGGTTTTTATATAGGTTCAAATTCTGGCTCTGTCTGTGTAGTCCTGGGCAGGTTGTTTAACTTCTCTGTATAAAATAAGATAAACAGGATGCATAAGTCCTTGAACCGTTGTTAAAATTAAGTAAGTTAGTACACATGAAGTGCCCAGGCAAGTGACTGGCACAAGTAGCCGCATGTTACTTCACTCCATGCATAAACCAGTCAGTCTTTAAAATACCTTTCGAGGCCTCCTGTGATGCATTGTTTCCTCTGTCTCAATCTCTCTGATAACTACATGGCTAACTCCCTCACCTTCTGGACGCCTTTGCTCAGTGACTTCAGTGCAAGTATTTTGATTGCTTTGTATACCCTGTATCTTTCCTGTCTCCACCCCTGCCACTCTTGACCTTATTTCCTCTGCTCTACTTTTTGTTTTTCCGTAGCAGTTGTCACCTTATTAGCTTCTACATATTAATTAATTACTTTGTTTAACTTGTCAATTGTTTTGTTTTTAGTTCACCTTGCTAGAATTTAAAATTCATGGGGGCAGAGGCCTTTGTTTTATTCACTATGTATACCAGGTGCTTAGAATAGAGTCTAGTAAATAGCAATTGCCTAAATTATGAGTAAATGATGAATAAATAAATTTATAGATGTTAGTATTATATGTTCCCAAGGAATAGAATGAAAAAGATGGAACTGGACAAGAAAACAAATTATATAAACACACACATATTTGAAATAAAAATGTTATATATTATATATAAACACAGATATATACTTACGAATATACCTATACAAGGGAGGACCCCCCAAAAAACCCCTGGGATCTACTTATAAAGAATGTATATTTATTTTTACATGTTTAGACTTCAGTCACCTTCAAAGTACTTTCCATATGATATAATACACCTACTGAGACTTTTTTCCATTTTTTAAAACAGCTTTTGAACTGATTGATTTAGATGCCTGTTAGAGCTTCTGCCATTTATTGTTGCCACCTATTCCACATCAACAAAACATTTGCCTTTGAGAACTTTTTTCATCCAGGTTAACAAAAAAAGTCGCTCAGTGAGAGAGGGTGAATAAGGAGGGTGGGGAATAAGGGTCATGCTGTTTTTGGTCAGAAACTGTTAAACACTCAGCACAGTGTAGGCAGGTGTGCTCATAAATTGTCCATCTTAACAGGCAAATGTGTTGAAAGGGCCATCAAAAGATTTTTCACTGAAGCTGAACACAGCCTCTCACAACAACGCCAGCTGGCACACTGATACAGGTAGGTTCCTAGAACCCTCACCTAGTAGGGGAAACCTGTATTAGAAGGAGGCTGCCCTCCAAAAGATAACTCTTTTTCTGGAGTCGCTCCCTTGTACATATATGTGTGCATATCTATTTAGAATTTTGAATATATATTTAGAATATTGAAATAAAAAAATTATATATGTGTGTGTGTTTATATTTAGAAGTTGTCCAAAATTGCCTTTGGAAATTGTTGAAGTGATTCCTTGCTGTTAGTATTGCTTTAAGGAAAGTTTGGAAGAGAGAACAAAAGAAAAATATGAGTTACCAGACAACAGACAAGCAAACAGAAGAAAACAAGTGATTTCTGGATAAGAAACAAGGGGCTGAGACTAAAACAATCCCAGGAAAAATAATGTTGGAAGTATGTGGAGGAGGCACAATTTTGAATAGGGGAGTCAGCAATAGCACCTCTGGAAAGGTGACATGTGAACTAAGGAAAAAGCCTGAGGAGGAGCCAGGTTAGGTGTGAGGTCACGGCTGAGGTGGCTGGAGCCCGGTGGGAGGGAGAGAAGGGCCAGGAATAAGGTCGTGAGGTAAGCTGGTTAGAGCAGCCTGGCCTTGCAGGCCATGGGAAGGAGATGGGAATTGAGGCAAAAAGCAGCAGGCCAGTCTGACATTCACCGAAAGCATTGAAGTAGGATGCTGACTAGGTTTGAAATATCTGGAGCCTCGAACAGAGAGTGAAGAAAAATTGAAGAATTTATGTATAAAATGAGGTGATAAACTACTCTGATCTCATATAGGTTCCTAAGAATAGTCAAGAAAGGAAATTCAGTTTCATTGTTTCATTCATAGTCTTTCTTTCCCATTAGAATGTCTCAAAACTACTAAAATGGGTAAAACCAGATTGTTTTGCCTTTTCTGAAATGACATCATTCTTATTTCCAAATGCACTAAGTAATGGATGGAAATGTATGTACTCACTGTTGCTTATTGCAATTCAGCTGGAAATTTTACAGCTCTTGTGTAGGTGTTTTATGTCCCCCAAAATATTGGACCTAGAGCTGTTTTCTTATAAGATTTTAGGTACGAGTTTTGAAATCTGCTGTACTGAAGAATGAGCATGTGAATGGTAGATTGATTTTTATATACATTCAATTTCTTCTTTCTAGCTCCACAAGTCTAATGGAGCCTAGCTCTTCAAGACGTAAACTCCTTCATGAGGTCTTTACAAACATAGCATATATAGTCACACACCTACCTCTTCATATGAGCTAACAGTAGCTTGATAATATGTGCCAGGCTTCTTTCAAGTGCTTCACAAATATTAGGTTATTGGAAACTCAGCATGATTTTATGAGGCAGGTGTTGTTATAATCAACATTTTTCAGAAGAGAAAACCAAAGCCCAAGGTAATAGAGTTGGTCAATGGTAGAATCAGTATTTGAAATTTGGCAATTAAAAAATTACTTATTGATTTTAGAGAGAGAGAGGAAAGGCGAGAGAGAGAGAGAGACAGACAGACACTGGCTTGTTGTTCCACTTGTGTATGCATTCATTGGTTGCTTCTTATATGTGCCCTCACCATGGATCAAATCTGCAACCTTGACATATGGGGATGATGCTCTAACCAACTGAGCTACCCAGCCAGTGCTCTTGAACTTCAGCAACTTAAACCACTATACCATTCTGCCTTTTGAGTGTAAGCATTGACCCTGAATGTTTTATTCATGTTCATTTGTCCCATTTTACGGTGCCTCATTGGGAGGAATAGTTCAGTAAGTGTATTGAGCCAGTGAATGAATGTATGACCCATTCTTTCAAATCATATCATTTCATGAATTATAGTGCTAAAAAATGTGAGTTTTTCCTTGAGGCAACTTGGGCAGGGTAATGCTACTTATTACCTCTGGGATATGGTAAAATTACTCCACACCTCTAAACCTGTTTTCTCATCTGTGTTGTTGGCACAAGGATAGAACTGCTGTTAGAATTAAGTACGTATAGAAAGTGCTTAACACAATGCCTGCAACATAATTAATGCTCAGGCCATTGAGCTGACTTTTTATTATTTTTAGAAATAAAATAACCTCCCCAAATATGCTTACACTTACATGCTCAGGCAGTTTTTCAGTCGTTCTTGTTCCATTAACTTTAAGAATCAAACATCTAATCATATAATCAGTGATGTTAACGCTGTTCCAGGATCCATTCTTGCACCTTGCCCTCAGCAGGGTATTCCTTTAGGTTGAAGGACCCGGCCTGTGGAACCAACCACCTATGAGCAAAAGGGTTAGAGGGCGGCCTGTTTCTCTCTCCCAAACATGTGACACACCTGCAGGCAGCACCTCCAGCGCTGCCCCTCCTTCATCCCTGTCAGAATAGCTTGCTGGAGTGTTATTTTGCATTCCAGTGATAGCCACAGAGCATTCTGGGTGACAAGGGAAAAACAGCAGAAGACTCAATTTTTTTTTCTGGCTAACACTTAATGTGCCAACTTTACAGTGCTTGCTGGAAGTTTAGGACCTCTTGCTAATCATAATCACTAGTAATGATCCAGTGCTCCCTTTGTGCCAGGGGCTGTGTTGAGTGCTTTATTTTCATGATCGCAAACAATCCTTATTGCAGCCCCATGTGAATTTTAAATTTTAGTTGTAAACTAAAAATGAAAGAGCACCACAGTGGCCTTTACATGTATATTGGGGGGCTTTGATGATAAAATCAAATATTTCTTAGCAATGTTTTGCTACATTTTTCTTCCAAAGCAAGTTGTGCAAGGTTGCAACACCTTTGGAATCTCCAGAGGACTTCCCTGCAGTGAAGAGATGTTTGGCAGAGAAATGAGATAAAGGTTGTGTGGAGGAGGCAAGAAGCTTCATTCTAGTTGACAGTTTATTCTACCCTAGAAGAAGCTATAGCAACAATCAACTGAGTCCAATTTGTCAGCTGCATTTGTTTGCTTCTTTGTAAGAAACTAATGTTGTGCTGATTTCCAATGCCTCCCCCCTTTTTTATTTATGGGGTATTTAAAAGGTTTTATTTTAATCCTCCCACATCTCCCAAGTTTGATGATTTCCTTTGAGAAAGGGTCTATACAAAATACATACACACACACAAACACACACATGAGAACAGTGCCTGAGTTTTATAGCTGGCACCCAATATGTTTGTTGAATGAATGCATGACAAAATTTTTAAAAATCTCTCTCCTTTTTTTTTTCTTCTGAGAATGGGAGCTGCTGTGAGATGTTTTAAATGGTAAAATTTCAATATGTAAATTTCTTTTTAAATTTTTCTTTTAAAATAATTTAGGAAAGACATTTTTCTAAAATGTGTGGCATTACTTAATTTTGGTGATTCAGGACAGCTTATTGGAGTGGGTTGTAACTCCATTAGAATTTATTGAGGTGAGATCATTTACCCATATACTAAATGGCCCCAGACCAGTATATTTTTAAGTTTGTGTAATCTGATTTTCATAAATTTCCTCTCCTCTTTCTCTTCCATTGTCTGCTATTTCTTCTTGCTTTCAGCATGTCTTGCTCTAGCAGTGTTCTTTCTATCACTCATTCAATTAGCTGTTTCTGCTTTTCTATTGACTAGGGAGCCAGAAAACGAGGTTTGTTAGAACTATGTGTATGATAAGAATAAAGAGTGTTGAATTTGGTTTAAACAGGCTCTTCTCTAAGGGAAGGGAATGGAAAGGTAAAATGGCTCTAGAAATAGTCTCCTGTAAGTGAGGCTATACCACACGTACATATACAGTAGCACTGGGTTTCAGTTACCTGTGTTATTAAAATGGGAGTGTTGGCATGGATAATTCATTTACTCTTTTGGACAATAGGCCTTTCTGAGAATCTCCAGTAAGCAAGACACTGGTGAGACATGGAGATTAAAATACAACCACACAAACATAGCCCCTGAAGAATCAGAATTTATAAATTGTTATAAAAGAGAAGATATGCATGGGAGTTTGTAGTACAGCTCATATAATGTTTTGAATAGTGTAAGAGTATATGGCTAGTAAAAGATGTATGTTAAAACATTCTGGTGTCTCAAAGGAAGAGACACTCTGTCACTCAGGGAGGGGTTTATGAGGAAGTGGCACTTGAAGTTAGTCTTGACATGATGGCAGGTTTTAGAGAGAGAGAGATTATGGGGGAGGAGTAGTGTTTGAGTTAGGGTCAGACCGGAGGAGCAGACATAATTGGATTAATGATTTGGAATGTGGGATTTATCATGGAGTTTAGATCTACTTTGGTGGGAGGAGCTTTTTGGGACAATTAAAGTCTATAAAGGGAAAGTTGGGAAGTCAGGTAAAAATCTAGGGACCCTGAGAGGCAGCAGGTAAAGAAATCTGTGGAAAATCTTTGCCACTGTGTGTGGTAGGCAGGCAGTTAAGAAGAAAAGCTAGATGTGAAGTGGAAGAGAATAATCTGGAACCTAAGAGGACAAACTGAATCCCTTAACGGCTCTCACTGTATCAAACCTCTACAATGTGGGCACTGGCAAAAGGAGCTGGTTTGCTTAGTCATGGAGCTTCATACCTCCCTGGCCAGGGACTTGGGCAAGTTGAAGGGAACTGAAGGAGTATGGGTGTGATTACTGCCCCCAAGGAGGAGGTGAGCCTCCAGATCAGCAATAACATGTGTGAGTCACTAGAAGGACCTTCTAAGGCAAGGACTATCTCTTCACTTATCCTATCCATCTCTCAAGCAGATTTCCCTGTGGACAGTCCTAACTAAGAACCATGCACAAAAGGGAATTCTGGAAACCGTAATTCCAGTTAAAAACCACATGTGGTACCTCAAATAGATGGAACAGGATGAAAATATGAAGTGAAGGAGGGAAACCTGTGCCTTGCATGGGGAGAGTCCAGCTGGACTGGGAGGTGGTATGTGATCAGTGGTGTCATCGAAAATCAGAATTTTAAAAGGTGAGCTGAGTCTGTATTGTCGAGGAATTTGCACTTAATCCTGTAAGGCAAGGAGAAGCACTAGATATTCATAAGCAAGAGAGGCATGGCCAGATCTG